ACCTTGTATTTGCCCATATGGAAAGCCATTTGCCACAGTTTTGCCTGTTCTTCAATATCTCCCTGTAATTTTATATTTCCATCTACATTGTTGACACTGCTGTCTATCTTTGTGTTACCAGGAAATTTAGATATGTAGCTTTCCATTCCATCATCAAAGCTGTGAGATAAACCAGTTGATAGTTGATGCTCCAATACTGATCCTTAGAAAGTACCACTATCACATCCTGCTAATCGGAGTACCTGTCCATTATTCCAATGTTCCTCCTCCTGTCCTTCAGCCAATTTCCTATATCCAGGTCAATAATTTCCCTTCAAATCAATGACCTTCAGCTTTAGCTAACAGTCACTTGTGAAAGAACTTAATCAAATGTCTTTAGGAAGTCCATATAAATAACATTCATAGACAGTTCCTTGTCCTCTACTTTAGTCACCTCTTCAGAAATTTCAATCAGATTCTTCAGGCATGACTACCCTTTACAAATCCATGCTGACTCTCTCTCATTAGCTGAATATTTTAAAGGTGCTCAGTCATAGAATCCTTAATAACAGGCTCCAGCAAATTTCCAACAATAAGAGGTAAGACTAATTAGCTTAGAATTTCCTGATTTCTCACTTTCTCAAATGTTTTAGGTGTGTGTGATTGGTGTGTGTGTGCGAGTGAGCATTAATTGTGTGCATGTGGGTTAGTTATGTGTAAGCATCTGTGTGCATGCTGTGTGTGACTGTGTGGGTGTTGTGTGCAGACTGTGTATATGTGCATATGTGTGCATGTTTGTTGTTTATGTGTGTGCGTGTGTGTGTGTGTCTGTCTGCCTGTAAGCATGTATATGTGTGTGAGTATGAGTTTGTGCTTGCTTGTTATGTGTGTCTTTGCATGATTGTTTTTCCATGAGTGTGTGGATTTGTTGAGTATGTAATAGTGCATGCATTTTGTTTGAATGTGTCTTGTTTTGGGGTTTGTGTGTGTGCATGAGCATTTATGATTTGGTAAACACTAGTGCCTTACAGCGCCAGGGATCCGGGTTCAATTCCACCCTCAGGCGACTATCTGTGTGGAGTTTGCACATTCTCCCTGTGTCTGCGTGGGTTTGCTCCAGTTTCCTCCCATAGTCAAAAAAGATGTACAGGTTAGGTGCTAAATTGCCCATAGTGTCCAGGGATGTGCAGGCTATGAGGTTAGCCATGGGAAATACAGGCTTACCAGGATAGGGTGGGGGGAAGGTGGGATGGTCTTCAGAGGGTCAGCGCAGACTTGATGGACCAAATGGCCTCTTCTGAATTGTATGGATTCTATGTATGTTTGTAGTGTATATGAATTTGCTCTGTGTGTGTGTGTGTGTGTGTGTGTATTTGTGTGTGTGTCTAAGTGTGCATGAAGGCATTGCGTGTGAGAGTGTGTGTTTGCTTTTTAAGAGTGTCATGTTCAAGTTGCCCATGCCTGTTTACTGGGACTGAGTATTTAAAGCAGTGGAGTATTTAAGTAATTAAACAGTTGTTATTGTCAGGATCAAGTTCACATGACAGAGTGAAGTTCGCTGTCGTGGGCACTCCCAGGAGTTGGCTTTTGGGAACATGAACCATCTTGATGTTATTTTCTGTGCCGGAGGTCCTGGCAAACAGGATTTCATTTCCTGGTGTTGGAAGCTTGTTTTATCTTGTAGAAGGAATTTGCTCATGGGTGAAAATTAATGAAAATGAGACTGGCTAACAAAAAGCATATTCTACCAGCTCTGGTCATAGCTGTTTGGGAGAAAGGTCGGGGCACATCTGTGTTGCATCTCTGTGTGAGCTTTTGGACTGTGGAGTGGGAAGGGGTTTCGAAAGGGGAAGTGAAAATGTTATTGAAAGTAAAGGTTAAAATTACTTCTACTTAATATAAATAAATAATTATGGTTAGTTTCTTCAGCGTTCAGACAGCCGCTAGATGGAGTCATATACAAAGGTGGGAAAGTGTACCTTAGGTAGGTTGGAGGAACTAACCAAATTGATTCATCGGAAGGGACTGTTAAACTTGAGAAAATATAAAGAATTGTGTCAAATCTCACAGGAGTTTGATTTTGAGATGAGGAGAGACCCTGGTGTACTAGAAAATTGAGGATAAAATAATTCAGTTTCAAAGCGTGGGAGTCAGTATGAGATTTGGTGTAAGTGGCAATATTGAATTTACTGACTAAACCTCTCCTGATTTTATTGTTATAATCTTATTTTAGTTTATTTTGAAGTGTCCAGACTGGAAGTCCAATATAGTAGGTGGGTGTGTGAAAGGGAAGTGGTAAGGGGCCTAGTTCATAATGAAGGCGCTGATCTAAAATCACCATGACCCAAAAGATTTCATTACGTTAGCACCTCCTCTCAAGTGCACTCAAGGAGTCGATACAGTTCAGGAGATGGCCGTTCAGCCTATTAAGTCCATTCTCTGTAGAGCAATCTAATCAGTTCTATTCCTCTCCTGTGACCTTGTGAGTTTGTTTCTGTCAAGTGGCAATCAAATTTTCTTTTAAAATCATTGTCTGTCTCTGTAGATTGTGCCCAAAATGGAGCAAAAATGAAAGCATCTGAAGATGCTGATCATAAATCAGTCCTGACATCCTAGGGATTAATCTGATGAGCCTCCATTGCATTCCCTTTATATATAGCAAGTATATCCCTCCTTTTATAAAACTGTACACAATATTCCATGTACAGTCTTAACAAGACTGTCCAATTGCAGCAACACAGTTTTACTCCTGTGCTTAAATCTCTTGCATTGTAGGCCAACGTAATTTGGGCCTTGCTAATTGCTCTTTGTCCCAGCATGCTAACTTTAAATGAACTCATACACAACCATTCCCAGACACCTGCACTTCTCAACCCCTCAGCACTTAAGAAATATTCTGCCCTTATTTATAAGTGAATAACTTCATGTTTGTTCATATTTAATTCCATCTGCCAAGTTTGAGACCATTCACCTCGTCTATCCAAATCCTCTCGAAGAACTTTTGTATTTTTCTCATGACTTACATTCCTGCATCCCGTTGGGAGTCATCAGCAAATGTGGAAATATTACACATTCAAATCCTTTATACAGATTGTGACCATTGCAGTATCCCACATAAAACAGCCTGCCTTCCTGAGAATGATGTTTATTCCTACTCTTTACTTTCCGTTAACTTATTCTCAGTCTATGCTAGTGTATTTCCCAATCTCAGGCACCCTAATTTTATTTATTAATGTCCCATGTGGAATGTTATCTAAAGCCTTCTGAAAATGCAAACACATCACATCCACTGGTTTGGAGACAATAGGGGCTGCAGATGCTGGAAGCCAGAGTCTATAGGTGTGAGGCTGGAAAAGCACAGCAGGTCAGACAGCATCCTAGGAGCAGGGAAGTCAACATTTCGGGCCGAAACCCTTTGTCAGGACTGGGGGGGGGGGGGGCAGTCCAGAGGAAAATGGGGGGGGGGGGGTTGGGGCTGGGGGACAGGAGGTGGATGCAGGTAATAGGTCAGGTCAGGGAGGCTAAGGAAGAGGGGGAGGGTGGGACATGGGATAAGGCTCGGGGGGGAGGGATTTTGAAGCTGGTGAAGTCAATATTGAGGCCATTGGGCTGTAAGCTCCCAAGGCGAAATATCAGGTGTTGTTCCTCCAGTTTACGTTTGGCCTGACTCTGACAGTGGAGGGGGCCAAGGATGGACATGTCACCAGGGGAGTGGGAGGGGGAATTAAAGTGGATGGCAACCAGAACGTCAGGTTGGTTGGTGCGTGCAGGGCACAGATGCTCTGCAAACTGATCCCCGAGTCTGTGTTTATTCTTCCTGATATAGAGAAGACCACATCAGAAGCAGTGGATAGAATAGATCAGGTTGGATGAAGTGCAGGTGAGTCTCTGCCGGATTTGGAAGGATTGTTTGGGGCCTTGGACAGCGGTGAGAGGGGAGACCTACAGTTGGGCAATGGGCCAAGACCTTGGAGTGGTCCTTAATTAGCTACTGATGCCCCTCGATAGGCAGTGAGCATAGGAAGGCCAACCATGGGCTTTCCTGCCTTGAAGTTAGTTCTAGAAATATAGAAAATAAGAGCAGGAGTAGGCCATTCAGCCCTTTGAGCCTGCACTGCTTTTCAAAGTGATCAGTACCTGTTCCCACATTCTTCCCAAGCCCTTGTGATCCCTTTAGGCCTAAGAACTATGTCTAACTCCTTCTTGAAAGCATTCAATGTTTTGGCATCAACCACTTTGTATGGCAGAGAATCCTGCAGAGCCTGCCACTTTCTGGGTGAAGACATTTCTCGTCATCTCAGCCTTAAATGACCCACTCTGTAAAGTTTCCATAGCCTTACCAGACCGGAGAAAGATGACTGTTGGAGGTTTAACATGAGGGTCACACCACATTTCAAGTGAGGGAAAGCTTGAGAAGGAGAATCCTTCATGATCATCTCAGCCATTGCAGGAATTGAACCCATGCATTAGCATCACTCCAGATTACACACCAGTTATCCAGCCAACTGAGCTAACTGAACACCTTGCCTTATGTTTCTGACCTACGATTCTGGACTCCCTGGTCATAAGAACAGCCTTCCTGTGTTTAACTTGTCTATTTCTATGAGAATTTCATAGGTTTCTATGCAATCCTACCCCATTCTTCCAAACTCCAGTGAATATAATCCTACCCAATCCTGCCATGCCAAGAATCAGTCTGCTGTAATCCCTCCACATCCAGTATGGCCTTCCTCAGGTAAGGAGACCAAAACTGCCCACATACTCTAGGTGTATTCTCACCAAGACCCTGGATATATGCAGCAAGACATCCCTGCTCCTATACCTGAATCCTCTTGCTATGAAGGCCAATGTACCATTTGTATTTTTCACCCCCTGCTACACCTTGTAGTGCTTACTTTCAGTGATAGGCCACCCAGGCCTCAGTGCATACCCCTCCACTCCCCGCTTCCTTTCTGATGGAAGTCAGAAGGTGTTGTATTAAGGGTATACCAATACCCTGCTGAATTAAATATCCCACTCACCTCCAAGCCTGTCAATCATGGGAACGCAGGTTTCTGGGATGCCTTGCCTGATAGTAAAGTGGAGTTGAGACCAGGATGAGATCAGCTATGATCATGTTAAATGGTGGAGCAGGCTCAAAATGCTGAATTGCCTACTCCCGCTCCTAATTCCAAAGTTCCTATGTTTCTGTTTCCTAATGACGCAAGTGAACATGACTTATCCAGTCTTTGGGACTTTACACTTTCTTTTTAAGCTTTATCTTCTACACAGGCAGGATATAAATTAATGGAAATGGTGTGAATGAGTCGTGGAGATATTCATGTCAAAATTCAGGCAGGAAACACCCACTTTCGAGTCATTTTGAAAAACCTGGAACTGCTTCAAACCCTGAGGTTCCTTTGGAACAATTCAGTGTTTGTTCCTCGATGGAATATTGTGCCAAGCTAGAGCAATGACAAAGTACAGTCCTAAGGCAAAATGAGTACCTTGGCTTTCAGAATGCTGGCTGATTAATTTCAGATGTTTCTCTTCTAACGAGTTATGGTTAAGGGAAAAATAAAGATTTACAAATCGCAAATGAGGGCAAGGCACTGTGATTTGCTGAGTCTGATGATAAATATTGGCAAGCACTACAGAGTCAACTGGAGTGAATTACAGCTCCTCTAATGAAAACACTTCATACAAAAATCAGTGCAATGCGACTGGGAGTCAGAGTCATGATTTTAAATTAAAATAGGACATGATTCCCTAGGCTTGGATGTGTTCTGGACATATATGGGGAATGACAGATAATGTTGGAATGAGATGACGGAGAGGAGCTGATGTTTGTGAGCAGCAAAAACAATAATATGCCACACAGTGTTTTCAGTTTACTGTAATATTCTGCCAGTATAATTATGGTGACATTTTAACACTAATGTGCCCCAGCTGTTGTTGTGTTATGTCTCTCAGCTAGTATGCAATATGCCTTTAAGAGACATGCTCACGTTATCATCATTACACCAAAGCACGTACCAAAGGACAGTCTCCATCAGACTTCATCTTGACTGGGGCCACTCGAAGCATGATATTATAATGGATGCTTGCTGCCCTCTGTAACCAAATAGCTCAATATGAGCCCATACACTGAAGTGCCCCTGATTATTATACACGTGTACACTACGAGCTGTGATAATAGTCTTTCAGCACCAGGATACCCATGTGTAGTTTTTATGTTCCAGAAACCAACAGGATATTGCCACATTGGACACAAACACTCTGCTGCCCTGGTTAACAATAAAGTTAACATTTCATTTTAGCCTCTTATGCCCCATAGACCAGGGCGTCTGTCTGTATAAGATAATGTGCAGGTTGGATTCAAAACGAAAACAAAGCCCTTCGATGAAGGATGTACCTCCCCCTTCTCAGCTGTGATGGTATGGAAGGGAAAGGCTGAACCTGTTTTGAAGCTTTGAAGACTGTTCTGGTTTGTTACTGACCAAGTTTAACAGAAAAGCTACAGACCCCAGTACCAGATACAGTAGGAACTGCAGATGCTGGAGAATCCGAGACAGCAAGGTGCAGAGCTGGATGAACACAGAAATTTCTGATGAAGGGTCTAGGCCCGAAACGTCAACCTTTTTGCTCCTATGATGCTGCTTGGCCTGCTGTGTTCATCCAGCTCTGCACCTTGTTGTCTCGGAGACCCCAGTACCAGCTGATTTTCCTCGTGAACACTCAGCTGGTAACCTATGGATTGAAGTACCGATAGCTTAAAAGGTGGCAGTGCCCTGATCAGCTGAGGGGGAGGTGAGGAACCAGCCATGGATAGGCTAGCAATCCGAATCTACCATGCCATCTGATATGCCCACTGGCTATGTGAGTACTGGTGAACCCAGAGAGGTATTGATGGGGTGGCACGGTGCCTCAGTAGTTAGCACTGCTGTCTCACAGCGCCAGGGACCCGGGTTCAATCCCACCCTTGAGTGACTGTCTGTGTGGAGTTTGTACATTCTCCCCGTGTCTATGTGGGTTTCCTCCAGGTGCTCTGGTTTCTTCCCACAGTCCAAAGATGTGCAGGTTAGGTGGATTGGCCATGCTAAATTGCTCATAGTGTTCAGGGATGGGTGGATGAGGTGGGCCTGGGTGGGATGTTCTGAGAGTCAGTGTGGACTTGTTGGGCCAAAGGGCCTGTTTCCACAGTGTAAGGATTCTATGAAAAAAGACTGTCCCCCATCCTTGCTGGACACAAGCAACAAGTGAAAATACCAACATTTTTAGTTACAGATTTATTTCTGCTTCCTAAAGTTAAATATGTCCTGTGCTGCTCATCTTCCCTGACGTTCAGCTGTTGAATGCTCACTTCCTTGTTCTACTTTGGTTCATTTCTACTTGGTTGTGCTGCCCAAAGACAACATGGTCCAGCCTCTCGAAATGGTATCACAGTGACAACCAAAAATTCACCCAATGATCAATTCTGGGAACAGGCCACAGCTATTCTTTCTCCTTGGCACAAGTGAACACGTCCCTTCCTGCAGCTCCACAAACAACTTGTTTTAAATATTCACAAAGTTCACGCTGAATCCTCCACAAGGTTGTCCTCTGCTATCTATACAGGCACATAAATCAAACCAGATGTTCCAATGATTGTCTGGTCTGGAGATTTAAGGGATCTCCATGTAACCCCTGTCAGCTCATGTGGATAGTAATAATGAATGACAGATAAGTCACTATCTCCAAGGATGTTTATGAAAATCAACAGACTCGTCTGATTCACAGCATGCCCAGAGAAGCTACAAGTTAGTTTTGTTTTTGTCACTTCTGTTTTCCTTTCAAGGCTTTGCCTGTTATTTGGATACCAGTCGCTCTTGCCTGAGAGGCCATTTTTTATAATGAAGCCTGGTTGCTGAGTGCCAAAAGACTGATGGGCAATGAGACTATCACTGTAGATTCCGAGCCTATCTTTCCATGTGCTGGGCAGTGGTTAGTGGGAAGGATAGTGGCTGATCAGGCCACATTTGGAGTATTGTGCTCAGTTTTGGGCCTCATATCTCAGGAAGGATGTACTGGCCCTGGAGTGGATTCAGAGGAGGTTCACGAGAATGGTCCCAGGAATGGAAAGCTTAACGTATGAGGAATGTTTGAGGACCTTGGGTCTATACTCGGAGTTTAGACGGATGAGGGGGGGATCTAATTGAAACTTACAGAATACTGAATGGCCTGGACAGAGTGGATGTTGGGAAGATGGTTCCATTTGTAGGAGAGTCCAGGACCCGAGGGCACAGCCTTAGAGTAAAGGGAAGACCTTTAGAACGGAGATAAGGAGAAACTTCTTCAGCCAGAGAGTGGTGAATCTATGGAATTCACTGCCACAGAAGGCTGTGGAGGCCAGGTCATTGAGTACATTTAAGACTGAGATAGATACGTTGTTGATTAGCAAGGGGATCAAGGGTTACGGGGTGAAAGCGGGAGAATGGGATTGAGGAACTTATCAGCCATGATTGAATGCCAGAGCAGATTCAATGGGCTGAATGACCTAATTTCTGCTCCGATGTCTTATGGTCTTATGATCGTCACAGGAGGTGCCTGTACCTCTTGACTCTTCAGTCAGAACATTGTGGGTTCAAATCTCACTTTAAATACTTGCACACTGGATCAAGGTGGACACTGCAAAACCAGGAGGAGCTGCACACTTATCGTATTGCTATTGTCTAAATGAGTTGGTAAACTGGCTGCTGCCTGTTTGCTGAGGAGGATGCAATCAATCTCATGCTGCTACATTGATATAAAAAAAAATCAGGGGAGCTCTCCCAGGCCAACATTTACCCCTCAATAAACATCACCAAAGCAGATACAGTCGCAAAGTCATAGAGATGTAGGATACGGAAACAGACCCTTTGGTCTAACTTGTTCATGTTGACCAGATATCCAAAATTAATCTAGTCCCATTTGCCAGCATTTGGTCCATATCCCTCCAAACCTTTCCTATCCATGTATCCATCCAGATGGCTTTTAAATGTTGTAATTGTACCAGCCTCCACCACTTCCTCTGGCAGCTCATTCCATACACGCGCCACCCTCTGTGTGAAAAAGTTGCCCCTTTAGGTCCCTTTTAAATCTTTCCCCTCTCACCTTAAACCTAATGTCTTCCAGTTTTGGACTCCCCTACCCTGGGGAAAACACCTTGCCCATTTACCCTATCTGTGCCCCTCATGATTTTATCAATTTCTGTAAGTCACCGACGCTCCAGGGAAAATAGCATCAGCCTGTTCAGCCTCTCCCAAGAGCTCAAACCCTCCAACCCTAAAGCAGAAAAAGACGGTGTATAGTGAGAAACGATTCCCACTGGTTGGAAAGCCCTGGTCCAGAAGGTGTATTTTAAAATCAGAGCCCAAATTTTCATGAATGAAATTCCGAAACACATTTTCACATGGAAATGTTCGGACATCTCTCCACAAACAGTTAATTTTAGCTCTGTGGAGAACACTAAATCTGAAATCGATAGGCTTTTGTTCATCAAAGGGAGTAGAAGATGTGAGGCGAAGGGTGTGGTTGAGATCACAGATCAGCCATGATCACAGTGAGTGATGGAACAGTGCTGAATGGGCCAAACGGCCCCTTTCCTGTTTCTGCATTCCTATTTTTACATTAACAAAAACAAAAATTGCTGGTAAAACTCAGCAGGTCTGGCAGCATCTGTGGAAAGAAAGCAGGGTTAACGTTTTGGGTCAAGTGACCTTTCCTCAGAACTGATGGTAGCTGGGAAAATGTCGGTTTATGAGCAGAAGATAGGGTTGGGGTGAGGGAGTAAGGAGTAAACGATAGATGGGGATAGAGCCCAAAGAGAGAGAAGAACAGTTGGACAGACAAAGGAGTGGGTAACAACCTGGCTACCACGGCGAATAGCTGTTATTGGAGACTGTTAGTGGCTAACAATGGGTTTTGTGTAATAGCAGACTATTTGATATCAAGGCCTGATGTGTGGGGATAGGGGGCTAGGACATGGGAGAGCTCAAGCCCTAAAGTTATTGAACTGAATATTGAGTCTGGAGGGCTGAAGGGTCCCAAGCAGAAAATGAGGTGCTGTTTTTCCAGTTTGCCCTGAGCTTCACTGGAGCACTGCAGCAAGCCTGAGACAAAGATGTTGGCCAGGGAACACAGTGGTGTGTTGAAGTGGCAGGCAACTGGAAGCTCAGGGTCTTA